TTTTGCCTTAAATTGATCATTTTTGTTAGGATCACTGATTTTTCTGCTAATGAAACCATGTGATACCCGAAAGATAACATGACAGAAATGTAAATATGCTAATGTTGGTTTTCTTTCCATTTTCTAGTTTTATTTTGAATATTCATAGTGTTTGTATACATACATGTGACACAAATAGCTGAATATGCTCTTTTCAAATAATTTAGATATTTTTTCTTTATTTCTTTTGATGATGGATGTTAGTGGAAAGCCAAAAGATAAACAACATATGTGTGTGTTGTGAAAATTGTTCTTCAATAAATACATTAAATGTCTGTTCTTGTCCTTAATATAAATTTACAAGCACATTTGATGTCTGAATGTTGGATATATATATATATATATAAATTAACTTTTTGGTCATAGTACTACCTTTAATTTCAATATCTAGAGGTTGTTTCTATTTTCCTGAAGAGATCTAAACGTTACTGATTCCAACCTCAAAAATCAGAGTTGGGACACAACAATATTCGTCATAAGGCTAGTTAAATATTCTTTACACAGGCAATGTTATGCATTTGGTGAGGACTGGATCCAAAAGAAAAAAAGGACTGCAGGATAAAAGAATCGAAGGGATTATTTGAGGAAGAGGGAGAGTGGAGGTACCACTGAGAGGTAAAAATCTGGGTTCGGAATCCAGGAGGCTGCAGGTAGATAACAGGGACCTGATAGAAGATGTTCTGCAGGTGTGATGCTGTGCAGACTTCCACACTGAACCGCTCAGCCTGAATCCACCAGCCAGCAGCCAGAGACAGAAAAGAACCAACAAAAAGCATAAACACCAGGCAGCATTTTGCACAGGTGTCCTCACAGGATTTAATGTTCACTACATTCAGAGCATTGATTTAACATAAATTATTTATTTTGAATAGACCTAAGTATTAATTTAATTCAGGTCGACAAACTTCACAGGAAAAAAATCGAGAATAGTAACTGACTGAACAGTAAAATAGTCAAGTGCTGCCCTCCAGGGGATTCTTTCAAGTGATGCATTCATATAAAACTTCAACTCTAACTACAAAATTGTTTGTAGTTCCATTTTATTCTTTGTGTTTTTTCCAATGAAAGTTTTCATTTAATCAGGACAGTTTTTAATAGGAGGAGTTAAAGTTAGGATATTTAAATTACACAGTGCTGTCTAGGAAGGCAGACAGGTGCTGTCAGATACAATAAAAGTGTCAAATAAAGCAGTCGGGTAGTTTTGCAGATGAATCCTTAAAACTGACAACAATATTCTGCTGATAGATGAAACTTCTTAATCTCCCAGTTACAGAGAAACTAAGTCTTTGGTAGCATCATCTGAAAGAGTTTCTTCTTTCTGTTGGAGCTCAAACAAAGATGGATTCAGATTAAAAACACAGAGAGGTATAGGGGAAAAAAGGTAAAAAGGTTTATTTTTTCTAGATGAAGACAGTGGAGTACACAGGACGGAGTCCTGGTAACAGAAATATAAAAGAGGGAGAACTTATTGCCCAGGAATGACGTAATCTGCGTTCAGGTGATAAGTTTTGGAATTTTCCGAACAGCTTCAATCCATGAATCGGAAAGCGATTTGGTCGAGTGTGAGATGACGTGGCCTAAGACGGTAACCTGCTCCTGAACAAAGTGAAGTTGAACAGAGAGGCTTTATGTCTTTTGGCCTGATGGTGAGTGAGAAGTTTCACTGTCAGTCATATACTGCTCTTAACTAGCAGCAACAAGCAGGTCATCCACATGCAAACTAATACTGACCGTCAGAATGCACAGGAACCGAAAAGAAAGCATTTCACAGCTCGAGAAAAGACAAAAATCAGAGGGAATCTGAGACAAATTGTGAGGATTTGGTATAGTGGAGCTCTTGGGACGACAGTTTTGTTAGCAACGTGGAGGCCCTGTACAAATCTCCATTCATCAGCCGTCCCCGGAGGCCTTATTTTTTTACTGGAAAAAGAGGTGTGCACACAGGAGAGGTGGGGCACGAAATAATAACAGTTTATTGCTTCAGAAAAGGTGGGTCGATAGGATTTTGTTTTTTTTTTCATTTGTAGCCATACTTGAGTCTTATGAACACTGGTTTACAGTCTTCTATCAAACCCACAACATATTTGTGTGATGTCCATAAGTCAAGTGGGAAATTCACGGAGCAAGTCAACGCAGAGAGAGAAAAACAGAATCATTCTTTGTCAGTTTGCAATGGAATGAGGAAGCAGAAATTTGTTTAAAAACTGTTTAGAGGGTGAAAAGATAACATCAAAGGTGGTTGTAGCCTGCCAGTCCTCAATAAGATGATCAAGCCACTATGTCGGAGACTTTTTCCAGATATAAATGTAGACAGGTATCCTCTATTGTGGAGGGGGCATGGTGTTCAGCAGCAGGAGGGAGGTGTGGGGAAGGCTCAGGAGAACAGTAGCAGGGAGGTGATCAGCACAAGACATCAGTTGGCTTATGTCTCTCCCCTCGTTAAAACTGTAGCAAGCTGGACCTGGAGGGACTCAAGAAGCCGACAGCGGATCAGGAGACAGCCGGGATCAGCTCCAAGAAGAGTGTGCATGCATGCGTGTATATGTCAAAATAAAAGGCATAAATGGAAAGACTGGGTCTGCGAATCTGTTGAGGCACCCACGGTGGCCTAAGATGCTACATTTATCTGCTAAAAGCCAGATGAGCAGCAGTGAGAGACATACAGTAGAAAAAGCTGCTGAGTGTTCATTCCAAAAAAGGAATCTGGTCCTTCATGAAAATCCTTCATGCAAATCCTTGGCAGACATGAGGTCATACAGTGGGGAAACAGCGTCCCTCACCATTTGTACAAAGGAGGCTGAAATGGAACTTCGAGGAAGCTTTCACTGATGAGTGTAAAATGGCGTAGAAGGAGAATACATGAAAGCAGTTGGTAATATTGTGGTCTTACTGGGATCTAAAGTGGCATTACTGGAAACAGTTACACCCTGAGGAGTTGATAGCAAACAGACAGAAAGGGCACACATCAAAGCAGATTAACCAGACAATGTTCAGACAGCACAAAGCAACTCCAGGTTCTGTTTTACACATGAGTGGAACTTAAAAGCACCTTGGCTGCTGCTCTCTCTCTCTCTCTATATATATATATATATATATGTATTGTTATGGAACTTTGCATTTTAAACAAGAGTTTTTATCTGTGAGGAATGGGGAAACCATTTTATTTAAAGCAAACTTGAGGAAGTCAAAGCAAACAGCACAATAACACAAATCTCCCCAGCTGCTATGTTGGTCAGACACATAAACCTTATCTTGGCCTTGGTTCAGGGAAGTTTCTAGAACGGAACATTCCTTTCTCCTGCAAAGCAGGTTGGTTTGTTGTGTGAACAACTTGTGCTTTTGTGCTGTTTGCTCTGACTTCCTCAAGTTGGCTTTAAATAAAATGATTTCCTCATTCCTCATAGGAATGTTCAAATTCCCCAACAACACACACACACACACACACACACACACACACACACACACACACA